GCCTCTTCCACATATGCATTGCTGCAATATCTGTGAGTTCCCTTCTGATGAAACATATCCCGTTTCTTTATGTTCTCAATTTTCTTTTTTCTGTCTTTATCTTCTATTCTTTCTTTGTATTGCCTTGTCCAGAATTTAGTACCTTGGAATACCTGGAATATTGAAATCAGACAGTACCATGGTATATAGACAGTATTTGGATATTTTAAGAAGCACCTTCGGGTCAAAATCTAGAAATAGCCATGTCAATAGATAATAAACTGTTTCTGTTTTCAAATTGTTTTGAATTTAGTAAATAATTTGTTAAAAAAATGCAAAAGTTCTTATTTTGGATGATTAAATAAATAAATATAAAATTAATAATTAATTAATTAATTATGTGTTTTTATGTTTATTATTGTTATTATTATTATATATCTTCATTTTTATTTTAAGACATGTGGAAAAATCTCATAGCAATATCTACGGATCCCAGTGTTATTTTAGTATCATTGATATACTATTATAGTTTTTAGTAATATTTTGAATTTGTTTTTATTTTTATATTTTCTTTTTTCATTATAATTTTAGTCAGTTTTAAAATATCGTAGTTGTATTCGTTTTTTTGTATGTCTATATATTTATTTTATTAATTTTTATGTACGTTTTAGTTGACTTGGCAACTAGGTGAAATTAAATAATTTTTTTAATATTTTATTTCTGTTAAAGGTTATTTTATTTGAGGTAATGAAAGTTTTGGGGGGTTTATGGTTTTAGTTAACTATAATGACCACTGCAAAATACCATAGTATGTCCACCAGATATCATGGTACTGTCATAGTAATTTTGTATAAAACGTTTGAAAAACATTTCAAACACACTCATTTGTTATCACTCATCTTGTAACTCCCAGACTTCCCACTGACTTCCTGGTCCTTTCCTTTCTTTGATATTTATACAAAAAGCCACATGCTAATTGACTATGATGGACCCATGTGGACTCAGATGTCACCTTTGGCCATGACGCCTCCTAAAAGTGTTACAGGTCACTGCAGGTCACTGATCTCAGGCTTACCAGAAACAGAGGCAGCGTCTTTGGAAATGGGTTCTGCCCTTGTTTCATAGGGGTCTGTGGTTTCATTTGAACCAAGAATCTGTGAAGCCGAAGGGGTTAATAAAGGGTCAAAGTCCCAGCTGTACCAGCCTCTGCTGGGCCTTCAGAGGAAGTCAGGGAGGTTGTAATACCGACAAATTGTCCTCTCTTTATGTCCAAAGCTGGTGGTCATGCTGGTTCTCGCCATCCTGGCCAGACGACAGAAGCTGGGTGACAATCAGAGGGGACTTACAGGTTTACTGAGGTCAGTTTGACATCACCCAGAACCTCATGGCAACATGCTAAAAATCAATCTCACAACACTTTAGCCACTATGTAGCAGCTCCTTTGCCAGTTTCTCATCATGACAGTGATTTTTGCATGGCCAAAACCACTCTCATATTCATTTTCTAGTTATTTATAATAGTTTTTTCTGTTCTTTTCTTCAGCCCAGTAAACTTTTTAGACCACACACAACACAAGGGCCTTGCCGTAGCTGTGTACGGCGTTCTCTTCTGCAAGCTGCTTGCAATGGTCCTCAGTCACCATCCACTTCCTTTCACTAAAGACGTCGTGAACAAAGGCACGGTGACTAGATTTCTTGCTGCATGGAGTGGTGAAATGCATTTATAGTGTGATTATATTCAGTTTTTATGCTTAATTTTATTATGTGGTCTAGTGGTTAAGACTCAGGAGTAGCAAACAGAAGGTTGCTGCAAGGAACAAACCTTGAGTCGCCTTCGTTGTACACTTAACCCCAGTTTGGTCAAAGATGATAATTATGGCAATGTTGTAAAGATTCAGTTCTTTATAGATTAAAAAAACACATTATTTTCTACCATAATGTAAATCAAAGACTTCGGGCCACCAAAGAGTGGGAATTTAGTCCGTTTGGCGGGGTATCTCACAGGGTATAGTGGCTCACCCTTCACTGGTGCTATCAAATGAACACTCTCTCTATTCACAAGATGGCAACTATCCAAACTAGGCTCAGTTCACACAAGAGGATGAAAAGTAGCA